ACATTTTGAATTGCGTTCATGATTACGGACAGACTGTGGTGTAATCGTTATCTTGAGGATAACTGCGGGCATATGTCCGACAATGATCAGCGACCGTCGAATCTTTAGATACGTGGACCTTAAAAACAAAAATAACTACTTAGTATATACCAATAAGTGAATCTAAAAGCACAATGTACCAACCTGGCAGAAGAAAAACGTATACACAGGTTACTTTGGCTCTGATATCAAATGTTCATAGATCCTAAAATAACACGACACTATATACTTAAGTCATTCTTCGCATCACCTATCCTGGCTTTTTCGGCCACAAATTCAAGCACCATAGTTAGTGCCAAGAAACTCAGTGTTTTTGTTTTCGTTCCTTGGGAGAAAGGCATTACGAATATACTGAATATGTCTATCTTTCCAGAATTTTACTCTGTTCAATCCGTTATGATTTATTATCCCTTTAAGGTGCACTAACGTGGTAGCAAAGCCAAGAAAGCTGAAACATCCCAGACAGAAACAATCTTACCTTGTCGTCACCTTTTAGATAGCTAGATGATTCACTAGGTGAAGTTTCTCTTTCTGCACCTCAGCCCACGTGAAACCTTTTCCATAATTATCTCCAACTTTGTCAATCACTTCTTCTGGTTCGTCGAAAGCTTTGGCGCCGGCAGCTGAAACAGTCCAAACCTTGCAGAGATTTCCAAATGGATGCAGAACATACACTGAGAACTTTGAATAGCGTGCTGCGACTCACTGGTACGAAGTCCACATCACTGCAGTAGCTTAGATACTGAAGGACAATATACTCAGGGATGAGACATCGAACAACATTGAGAACCTTTATTTCCGTATTTGAGGACAGTTTCAGAGTTTTCTCGCCAAAAGGCAAGGCTTGAATTATGTGGGTACCGGCGATGAACGACCAAAAATGATCGAGTTTTTTCTGGCACAGTGTACATTCTTGTGCCTTTAACAAATTGTACGTTTGTACCTCTGCCGTGGAGCAATAAATGATGTCTAGCTATGTTAAAACGATGCCTTGACAAATTAGGTATTCGATTCTGCAAATCTTTGAAATTCACCTTACCCACCATGATGGACAAAATCTGCCTTCGAGAGCTCCAATAGTTTGCGTTGTTATAACATTCGGCCAAACCTTCCATCAGAGAGGAGTCAATAGCACTTTCTTCAAGCTCTCATTTAACCAGTGAAAATAATAAAGTTTCATTTTCCCCAGGAACAATTTCATCCAAGCATGCAATGACAACCTGTACTAGCTTTCCAGTATAAAGCCTTATTGTCCGCTCGGAAGCTTCTGCCCATGGACAGGTGTTTCTAGGGAATGGCGAATTGGACTTATTTCTCTTGAGATCAGGAATTTATTCAACTTCTCCCTTGATGTTATAGTTTTTTCTTCGGCAAAAGATGGTTCATAGAGATTACTTTCTAATATAGGACTTGATATTGGGGTAAAAGAGATTTCATCTTCCTCTTCTTCTTCTTCCAACTCCTCTCCTTTATCCTTCTCTTTATAAACCACAACAACAAAGGAAAGAGAAGAGGATAAGAGGGAAAATTTAAATGATCAGTAGGAGAAAAATACAGAAAGGAAAAAGGGGGAGGAGGGGGGAGGGAGGAGAAAGATTAGAAAAATAGATTTAAATCCACGACAATTTATTGAACAGGGGTCAACTACAGAAACCAATCATTTTTTCCAGTCTCCTCGCGGTTTTCTTTCCTTCTGAGTTCTATTTAAGAGAGAGTATAGATTAAAACATGTCAAAATCCCATATAAACATAAAACTTTCTTTGCATTACGGAAGCCGATAGCATAGCTTCTTTAGCAGTACTAGTTTCCTGTAACTAGCCCCAGCGAAAATCCGCGGGAACCAGCCAAATATTCTACGCATTTTGAGACAAAAAAAGTATGGTGTGATGAGTCACCAGTCCCCTCTAACTTTATAGAAACAAATAAATTGAATAGGAAGAACCTGCATGGTGTGTTTTGCCTGATACTTAACACAATGACAGAGGCAAGCTGACTATAAATATCATAATGGGGATCGAAGCTTACCAGATTCAATTTTTCCATCTGCATTAATACGGCACTGGAGTCAATGGAACGAGAAGTCGAACTTACCACGACCGTAGACTCTTCTTCTTCTGCTGTAAGCAGCTTAAGGGTTTTTCGACAAGATGCGCAAATACCTAAGAAAATCAAAGTCAAAGGCTTTAAGCCTTTTTTTTTTTTAGGAAACGAAGAGAATTCAGTTGAGTGAAACCAAGTTTTCAAAATGTAAACTTACCTGGGCCTATTTGAAGAAACAGTCAAGTTTTCTTTAAAATTATTCACGATTCTTCGGTCGCCTTTCGGCCACTTTTTGCCTCTTCTGTCATAATTGAATAATGCCTCTGGCACTCTACAACTAGCAGTAGATCCCCGCCGCCAGCCCAAATCAAGTTTTTCGCGATGAAAGGGACAAACGGTCATAGAATTTATGTTTGCAGGTTGAGTTAATACTGCTGCTCTGCTGAGGATAAGGTCAACTTCGTCCTCTAGACCGGAAAATCCCAGGCTTGCTGTATGGTTGGAAATTGGTTTTGAACATGCCAGTAAAGGGATAATTTGTGCTTCTTTTTTCCTGTCTCTAGTTTCAAATCCCCACATTCCTTCTACGATAGACTTAAAAGAACGGCACGGCTCCATATTCACTCAGTAACACGCGTTGCAACTCGCTGAGCTTACCAACGTTTCATTAAACATGTTACAAAGTGACGACTCCACTTTAGACTACAAACAAATTGTCTCAGTTCGTTCAAAACAAACAAAAACTAACACCTGTTTTTGAATTAGTACCGACATTTTAATTGAATATGATAGCGACGACGTTTCTATCATTACATAAGGTTTTCCCGGGGCAACACCGCGAAATTTTTTTTTTTCCTCAGGTAATGATTTCTCTACAGCGATCACATTTGTCACTCTTTTGCCTTCATTTGTTCTTAAACAGAGTTCTGTTTGTCTTTGCTTTTTTCTACGTATAGGCTTAATGTATTCTGCTTAACTTTTTAGCTGCTTCTGTCAAGTGTAATGTTCGTTGCAGTGTCATGTAACGCGCGGGACAAGTTTAAAAATCGATTCGTTCGCTCTGAATCAATTCCTCAAAAAATCTTTTAGGGCTCTAAAAGAACAACTCTTTGACTTTTAAACACTAGGTTTTCATTGAATTATATGCAGTACCATAAGTTTAAATAATAGGCTCATTTTAGATAAGTTTTCTTCTCGATAAAAATAAGTCGATCAAATTAAATTAGATAATAAAAGTAATGGTCGAGAATTGCTAAAAATTGTTTTAACGGTATTTTTTGACGTCGTTCAGATTTTATTGCCCTGGATTGTTCTATTTTGTAATGCAAGGCGTCATGAATTGTCCTAAATTTCGCATTGAAAAAGCGGGGTTTTTTTTACAAAATTCAATGATTATCGATTTTCTCGAAAACTAATCGATATTCAGCAAAACGAACTAGCAGTGTTTTGTTTTACATTAAGGTCTATTTGAGCTGTTGCCACGAAATTTTAAAAATGCTTGAATTTTGGTAACGTTTGCTCTTAAGTTCGAAACTCAACACCTAAAAAAACACTTTGAGTGAGTATGAAAAACCATACCCATTCCGTTGTTAATCTCTTTTCTCGCAACTAACCTATAATTGAATTACTTGGTTTCATCAACTGAGCTGATTATGAGTTGGTACAGCGACAAATTACAGTATCAAATCAGTTGGAAAAAACAAATTACCTCGTAATATAACATAACCAAAGTAAGGCGTGCGCTCTGATTGGTCAATTTACCTCGTAATATAATACCCCTCACATCATTAATAACTTCCGATTAGTCATAAGTAATATCACTGAACGTGAATATTTAACCTGTCTACTAGTCTTCAATCATGCCCTTTACATACAATTGCTACAGTCAAACCTGTCTTTTTTCCATTTTTTTAAAACATGACTACAGCGTAGTTTAAAACATTTCTCCACATTAGATAAAAGCAAAGGACCCGTCGGACCTTTGCTGGCTTGTTCAAAGGTCCATCGTTCACTGGTACCCTAAGTAAACGGCTGCGATCGTCAGAGAAAGGCCTTCTTCGCATATTATGTCTACAAATATAGATATCGGGGTACTACAAACAACATACAACCTTACTAAACTTTGTTCTTTCTTTGGTCGTACAAATGTTGCTTAACGGTAAAATTTAGGTTCCTCAACCCGTCAGCTAACTTGATTCAAGTAGTATCATCTCGAGTAATATTTGGGGGCTCTTGCGGTGCAGTGAATCTTATTAATTCCGTTATAAAGTTGCAGTGCTTTGAAGTATCAAAAGTTGCAGTGCTTTGAAGTATCAAAACAACAGTGTTGTTTTGATACTTCTGACCCTTCCACGTGCCTCTTACGCTGAGAGCACATCTATGGGCAGGTCTCCTATCTAAGCAAGACTATTTGGTGCACTTCAGTTAATCAAAAAAAGACGGTAATTTATTGTGAGCAAGAAATATTTTATAGATATATGTAATTTATTATAATTATAATATGGGGTATAGTTAATATGGGGATTAAGTTCCTCCCTCTATAACCCAATTGTAATGTATTGTAATGTAATGTAATGTGAATTACTATTACGATTACAATAAAGCTGTTATATAAATTACATAAAAAGGATTTTACCATCTCTTAACTCTGAGCGTTCCGATGGTTTAGCTGCTTGGATCGAGAAACTCGATGTGACTAAATTACTTTGGTGCCGAGCTCTTTGGCTGTCAGAGACAAAGACTAGCTAATCAACCAAGTCAAACAGTAGCGATAAAATGCTTTATAGGTCACTGTCAAACGGGTCCTCTTTGTGAAAGGTGTAGAACAGTGACACATAAGGAAAATACTCCGGCGCTGAGGCATAAATATCATGGTAACACAATCAATATACTGTGTATCAAAATACATCAACGACAGGCGAGAAACCAAAAATTAATGTATTATACTAAAAAATATTTTCTACAGAAAGGTGATCAAGGAGAAATAGGTTAATCACTTTGAATAGTGTAAGTATTTAGCATAGCAGACAAACTATTTCCTCTTGAACACAACTACGTTTACGAGGAACATCGTCTAGCCGTGCGAGCTACTACGTACTTCGCTATAGCATACCGATCTTTAATCGGTGACTACAATATACAACTCGCCGTTGTCTTTTGAGTAGAAACGGCCGGTGTAGGTAAGAGACGTGGCCTTTAGAGTAGTTTTGACTCTATAGATGACCATAAAGTAGTATGCATTTTGGGCTTCCTTTCCGTTTCTATGTCAGTAACAGAAAGATCAATGCAAGTAAGAAACATTAGACCTGCTAAACGAGAAAACCGTATATTACTATCCATGTTTTAACTACAAGAACACAATTCAATCGTTTTAGCTATTAATTACTAATGGAGTGGACAACACACCGTCTATGTGGCATATGAAATACGTGTAGAAACCTCCAAATCACCTTACCTGTTTCAAAGGTGATAACTTTAATTTCGCAATGATAAATGCTTTGATCTACTATTCAACGATTGCAAAGTAAACTAGCAAAACAAATTTGTTCAGAACACGTGCAGAATCCCTCACGTGAAGTCACTGATATGATTTATTTTGGCTAAAACCAGTGGAACCCATCTGTTCAATTTAATTAAGAGAGGATGAGGAATTTTATTCTCTCTGGTTTTGATAAAGGGTGACTTTCAATTCAATGTCGAAGGTAGTCAAAATGGCTTTGGTTTTGCTTTACTTGCTATGTGATTGGTGTGAAAAACTAGTTCCCCTCAGTAAAATGAAAAAAAAAAGATCAATAAAAACATGATCGCTTGCGCCCCCCCCCCCTCCCCCTTGCCTTTGTCAATTTCCTTGTCTCTACTCAGAGTTGTTCTTATTGGTTCCCAGTTATATTTGTCTTTGTTTTGATCGCCTGTCATGATAACTTGGTTTTCGGACACTCCATCGGAATGTGTTCTAATTACGCTTACAACCTAATAGTAGGCGAATTTTAATCTACTTTTGACATTTACCCCAAGTTAATGACTTTGATCTCTAAAATCTCCTTAAGTTTACTTGTTCTGTGAGCCATCATAGACAAAATTTAATCAACTAAATCAAACATGTTTTTCACAACGCTGTTGAAATTACTGTCAAAATGATCGTCCTTGAAGTCGGTGTAGACGTATTCAAAGGAACTTGCGATTGACTTGAGCAATCCCTTACCAGCCCTGTGCTGTCTTTCGATGGTATTCGATGCTAGGCTTTCGATCACTTTTTCGCAAACAGGGCAGGTTTGTAGGCATTCTCTGATGCTAACACGAGGTTTTCCATTCGGAATGTGAACAGGACACCACATCATGTCTTTCCTTCCCTGGCTCGATAACCACATGGCAAAGGCCACCATTCCTGACACTTGGGGGCTAAGTTCCTTGACAGTTTTCTCTAATCTTCTCATTCCTGGGAGAAGAATAGCTCGAAGGTTCTCGCCGTTAAGATCAGAGAATTCTTTATACTTCTCCAGCCTCTGTAGACTCAGTTTTGCCAGCACATTCCGGCAGTCGTCACCCACATAGCTCAGCCTGTACTTCTGAACAAGAAGCAGAATCTTCATGGCATTATCCTTCGTTTTGGGCTCATTTCTGAGACAGGTGGCACACAGGTCAAGGACTGTCTTAATTTGGTACTCTTCAGCAAGCTTGAGAAAGCGTTCTACATTATCCACTGAAACAAAAATCAAAAGAAATCTACTATATATTCATTAGATCCACTACGTAAGGACTCAAATTAATCTGACTTAGGACCGCTCGACAAAGCAACTAGAGATAAAAAGGCGAGAATCTGCCCACTCTGTCTTTCCTATTCACTCCGTAGAACAGACACTAGTAGGGACTTTAAGCAAACCACGACGGCTACGGCAACGAGAACGTGGAAAAACAATAGATCTAATTGACAGAACAATAGCCCAACACGTGCGTTTTAAAACTTTGTAAATTTCTTAGCCGTCCTTTGCAAAACAACAACGCGAAATCCCCAAAATTGCGTCGTCTGCGAAGCGAAACCGCGGCGGCAAATTATTTTAATTTACATATTTTGGAACTCAATGCTACTTTTATGCATTATGTTGAGTTTGAAGTCTGGCGCCATATGAGACGGTAAACACATGCAGCCATTTTCGAAATTCTAACTAAAAGTAGAAACTCCTTTTTTAATCGACGTCTTCCGTGGCGTTGCCGTTCTGGCTGCTTGAAGTCCCTACTAAGATTTGGTTTGGGAATTGGTTAAACTAATTGAACAGGATTTCTATATAAAGACATCGCACAATAAGTGTCTTAAAGTCTCCGTAATTCTACTTGTCATCAGGGCCGAATCTCAAAAGCTTCTGTAATCGATGAGCTACAGTCGTTAAACCATGACCACTGAAGTTGAGCCAGGAAGCATTACTTAAGTAAGCATATTCCCTGCCGGTATTAAACCACGCAAGGTATGTTATCCAATCGAATACCGTGGAGACCACACAAGACTAAACAGTACTCTGGGAATTCTAGCTGCAGAAAAGCCTGAACTTTTACTTTCGACACTTACTTGTAATTTCGTCCCTTTCTTGTGGGTATAACTGTTTGAGAAGATTCAGTATATCGTCTGCGTCCTTTCCAGGTAGAGTGATCTCAGCATTTGAAGTTTCTTTGGATTCAGATTTAAGCATGGTGTTAAACACTGGCGAACTCAAAGTTAACATAAAACGGTGAAGGTGTAACTTTACACCATTGACAACAAGAACCAAGTTGCCCTCCTCCCACGGATGAGAAAATGGATTCCTTGCAACCTCGATTGGTTCTACGTTCCTCTTTACTTCCTCTGTAAATTCTTGTACAAATTCCAATCCCGTATTTATAGCCTCGTCCTCACATTCATCTGCGATGATGCTTTGCTGTACTTCGTTCACGGGCCATTCCATTTCCTCATGTCCGCCTTATACATCTGATTCTCTGCACTGCCAGTCTCGCTCAACAACATCCCTCGGTATCTTTAGAGCGGTCACGCAACTGTGCGATTCAGACGGAGGAATCGGCGACTGACATTCAACTACGTCATATTTCGACGTGCAGTGTCTTTCCAGCTCTTCACAACGGACTGCCTTGGGCATGGCATACTCCCGATTGCTATCGCTATAATCTTTCGAAAAACAGTCTTTGGACCCCGCCTCATTTTTTTCTTATGCATCAAGCTTTTCCCAAGGACGCGGAATTTCGTAGTTCCTTGTCTTTTTTCCTGCATAATTAAGAGTAAATTTGGCACCCAACTGAGAAAACTCATATCGAAAAAGGCACTTTGTTTTATCAAACACAATCTTTCATCTATGCAGAGCTCTCCTTTTTAACTCGTGGGTACGCGATAGCGTACAAACAAGTTATTGCAGGCACTTTGGGATATGTAAACTGCGTGGGTTCTTCGTAATTTGTCGTAATTAGTCGGCCCTGAACTCGAGATCTATCCATCCGAAGAGGTCCGAAGTCTTGGCGCCATTGTGATTGCATCGATCGTTGCGATGTTTATTGTATTTACAGGGCTGTTTCGACATTTACTAAATTAAAATGGACTTCGACTTAAAGACCAAATTTGAAGGTCTTTGAATCGCCCATGCGCTAAACATAACGAGGAGAAATTCCCACGGAAACATATACCCATGACTTAAAAGAATTCTTAATTTACAGCATTATAAAAAAGGGGGGGAAATGTATATAACAAAATAAATTTATATGTAAAAACCTCTCCTGCCAAAAATCGTATTTGGACACTGTCTACAGAGACATCAGTATATCCATATCACCACTAAGTCACTAAGTAAAACTGTCAGGGAAAATTAAACTACATATACCATAAGCTGAATATGGCATTTAAGAAGTAACCACATTGTCAGCAAAGTTTATCAAATCATTAGCTTATACGGCTGTTTCGACATTTACTAAACTGAAATGGACTTCGAATGTTTCAGATTAGTGCTATGATTAACTTGAATTGAAGACTGAATTTGATAGATCTTTGAAACCAGCCCAGGCATAAAAGTCGCTATCATGTTATGGTGAACATCACATACCAGACAGTAAAGCAGCAGGTACTGACAGCCGGTAAAAAAAAAAGCCTTCACAAAAGCCTACAAATTTTCGCTAAAAGCTAAAAATTATTTTGAACCCTGGTGAGCAATATATATATTTTTTCCTAGCCAGCTGCTTTGATCAAATTTCGTTTCCCTATTTTTGGATGGAAAGGCTATTAACTCCGCACAAGAATTTCGTTTCGAGCTTATTTTTGCAGGATATATATTTTTTGAATTCACTTAGCCCCCCTCTAGATTAAAACCACATAGTTGGATCGTGCTCAGATTTAAAATTTGATGTTGGCAGAGAAGCCAGCTGCACATACCCAGAAAAAAATTGACCTATGTAATTCCCCACCGGGGTTTCTATCACATACTCAAGTACTATAATTTCTATGCTTGCAATGGTTCTACTGTCTATCTTCTTTTAACACCTTAGTTTACTGATAGCAACTTTACAAAAATATATCTCTTAAACTTTATCCACGAGTTGGCCATGCCACAGTCGGCCTTTGATTTATCTTTAATTTGTTTTTGCTACTGCCAGTGGTTACCATTTTTCATGCAAGAAGAAAATTCAACTCACCGACATCGTAGGGAGTCTTCCTTCGGCACGCAGACGTCTTTGGAATAAGGCGTGCATCCATGCTTTTCAACGTTATCTGATCGTTGGCAGCTTCAACGAAAAGCAAAAAAAAATCATTGTTTAGGAATCTTAAATAGCGGTACTTCTTGCCAGTAAATGAACTGCAAATCCGTTAGAATTAAACCATACAGGAAAATCATACCAACAGATAAATAAAAACTCGTTATTTAGTAATCTTAGGAAGTTTGATCGGGCCAGCAGGTGTCGTAACAGCGCTAGCCGAAAAATGGTTAAGTTTGATTTTGAACTTGATTGCCTTTAGATAAAAGTTTATTACAGTACTTTAACAGAGATAAAATGGTATCCTCATCAACGGATCCTCCTGAACAGTGTACTAAGTCGTGCGTAGCTTACACTCGTGGGCACCTTGCATAAAAAGTGAGACAGACAGGAAACCACAACTGTATGAAGCCAGAATCTTGAAGTGCGAGTCAAATAATGCGAACGACCCAAATTCAGTAGCCTTTGTAGCTCCCCTTAGCCAAGCGAATCATGATGAACTTTCGACTGGAGAACACACGCATAACATAAACAAGACAATGATGAAATACTCCGCGGTCACATTCATTCATTGTCTGTCAACAATTTTCCAAATGAAGGTACAGACACAGGGAAGACTTTGGTGACAAGAAAGCGACTGAACAGAGAAGCCAGATTCTTCTAAAAAATTCTTAGCCGTTACACTTTTATCATGATGACGTTAAAATGTCCTTGTCGTGGGTGAAACCGAAACCTGAGTGCCTTTGATGCACTGACGTGTTGACCACGTCAATAAGCATGTAATTGGTCTTTCACTGTAATTGACGCACAGTAATTGTAACGCACTGTTAGATTGTGACGAACAGCGATGCGTCCTTAGGTGAGCATCCCCTGTATTTCACCTTAATACACCGATTCAAAAAATGTCGGACAGCTCGGCTCGCGCGGATGGACTGGTGGTGAAAATAATCGAAAACGAGGCTAGTCAGTATACATACCATCAACATCGAGTCTGTCCATATAGGATCATAGAGAGCTTTTTCATCATGCCAACGTAAAAGTTGCTGTGTGCCGAAATGCACACAAACTGGCTATTTAGAAGACAACGGAAGGCTTGTTTCTTTCTACAACTTTCCAAAGGACTTGATCTTGCGTAAAAAGTGAATTCATGCCATACGAATGGACGAAGGGAAAAACTTCACGATCGTGAAGTCAACTAAAGTTTGCTCGCTTCATTTTCGTCCATCTGATCTGCGAAAGTCCTTAAATGGGAGGATTTTTGTAAAAAGTAATGCAGTACCTTACAATTTGAATGGCAAAAACAATCCCCGAAGAAAAGAAAAGCACCAACACAACGATGTTCTCCTCGTCGTAAAGCCCGGAATCAATCGAGTCCCACTTGTGGAAAGTCTGTCACCATCGGTGCGAACTTTGCAATCTCTTCTTTGCATGTCAAATCATAAACAAGAAATTCCACATCAATTTATTTTTCAAAAGTGTATAATGTGCTAGTGACACTTGCTCTTTACTATATGGAGATTTAAATTTTTAATTTTAAATTTTCTGGAAAATTGCAAAGAGGTATTTAAGATCTCATTACTTTGGAGGCATTTTTTTTTTTTGTAGCTGAAACTTTTATTTATGCAAGCTAGGTGAAACATTAACAAGTCGCCAACCTCATTCAAAGGAAAACCACTCTGACACAGTATAAGTATGGTTTGTGAAAAATGGTGTGAACCATTTGGAGCAAATTTGTAGTAATTCTATAATTGAAGCAGAACATGTACAATGTGAATCGTTTGATTCACTCTGTGAACATTGTGAATAAATTTATTGTAAATACAACATGTAATTTAATTTTCTTGATAAAAATATTAGAATTTGTATAAATTAATATTAATAGATGTTCACTGAGTCAACACAGATCATCTTACCTCAAGGTGGAGTGCAAATAATACCTGTGAAATAGACTGCTAACAAAGATTGTTTAATTATTCAAACCTATTTAGTAGTGATTCACACTGACTATTTCAAAGGCATATTATTTGCACTCTACTCTTTGAAGTTATAACAAATGTAACATTAACCACAAGTTACCTGGCTAATATTCTGTTTCTCTTTTATGTACTGATTACATCACAAGTAAGTTTAATTTAGTAGCATTTTAGTCATTCATATTGAATTTGGTAGCAGCTTTGCTGAGAAAATGATTGAGATAAAAAGAAAAGTTTTAATAAACATAGATAAACAATGATGTAATACCTGCGCATAATAATTGTGATTCTTTTAAGTGTGGGCTTTCCATCTATTTCTTCTAAATAAATTGAATCCTGGATCTGAGTATGCATCGAACGGAGACACTGAGAATTTAGATGGAAGGCACTTTATCTCCACTAGACCACATTGTTTAGTGCATTTATTGTCAATGACTAACCATCAGGTGTAGCTCCCAAGAAAGGCACCTCTTAACAAACTATGAAACCAGACTTGAATACTTTGATGGATTGCCTAATACAGAAAACATGTACTTCTGATGCTCCAACAATGCTATTGGCTCGTATTTATTACCGTGAACTGTGTATCTTGACTTCGCATCGAAAGATTAACCCGATTTCGAGACGTGCACGTCGATTTCAGCTCGAGTAAACATAGGTAGCCTTGATAGTTTCGTTGACCATCCATCTAATTTTTACTGCAGTACGTAGTACGAGAATTCGTCGCGACATCGCCTTGTTGTATACTTTAATTTTATCCGGATCGACTATATATTCTTGTCACGGCCCGAACTTATATATTCTTCGACCCTAGAGTAAAATCAATATCTGGATTAAGAACTGGGATTAAGTAAAACAAAGAATCACAAATAAAATTTATATTTCAGAGTCTTTTAACTATATCGAAACAGCCGAGTAAGATCTCTCACCTTTTCACGAATTGTGCCTTCGTTTTAAGTCCCTTGCACGAATCTGCACGGCACTGAAGCAAGAATCTAAGTTCCTACATCTTAAGCTGAGAGAGTATTCTACCCGCCAGAGAAGCTCGACATCACGTTTTTCGTCACCAGTCCATGCGCGCGAACCGAGCTCGCCGCCATTTTTCGGCCCAAATTTGCGTATTTCACCGATATTCAAAACAAACTGAGGTTAGTAGCCATTGCTTCCTGCTTAACAGTGTGTGAAATACATATTTGTATGAGTCGATTGGACACAAATCTTGAACGACTTGTAGTTATCGTACAATTTGGAAGGTCTGTTCCATCCGAACCCGGAAATTTTCGAAACAACGAGAGGTAATACAAGATGAGTCTAAGCGTTTAAATTTTCCCGATGGGCCATTGCAGATATGGTCTCAAATGTTCTGTTCAATTGCTTTTTTGAACCAAGCTAAGCTTTGCATGGAAACAATTTTCGCAGAATTGGAAATTAACCTGACGGATCGGTAAGACGGTGGTTAGCTACCCACTCTAATTTACAGTGATTGGACTTTAAAATCGATTCGAACGGTTCTATCATGGCGCATCTTCAGTGCAACAGCTATCATAGCAAATAACAAAAATTTCTTTCTTCAATTACATAGTTTAGAACTGCTTCAAGACTTACCTGAAAATTCTGCGTGTCGTGAAATGCAGCTAACCAAATGCCTTCCGAAAAGGTAGGTCACTTTCCGAGAATTGAAGCGGAAGTGAGAGATGCCCGGTGGAACTTCAACATTTCAAGTCAGCGGCTTCACAGGAAACTGATAGTTATGTGGTGTAATGTCGTCCGAAGTTAAAGACGTCTAAAGAAATTGATTGTGAACGGAATTATCGTTAAACTGAGATTCTGGATCAGAAGTGCCTGCCGGTGAAGAACGGTAGTTTAATTCTAATCAAAAATTTGAATTCAGCAAAGACTAGAGTATCAATATCTTACACTGACTCTCCGATTCAGTAGCGTTAAATTTTTACAGAGTTAATTCGAAATTGAAAGTCAAAATCATCAGGAAGTTTGGCAATGCCAAACCAACACAAACAAAAAACAGCAAGTTTAAGTTGTTTTGCCTGGAGACAAATAGGACGAACCCGCGAAACATACCACATCTTGTACTGATACATACGTTAATTGACCACTCCCCATGGGGGCTATTCAAGGCCAATTCTCACCCATCCCACCCCGGGGAGGACATCCACAACACAGTAATCTGGTGCGTGAAAAATTAAAGTCTCCTACCCCTAACCCAGCAGGAGACGGGGCCTACGAATTATTCGTCTTTATCCGAGAAGACTAGAATATCTATCCATTTCTTGATTGGTCCAGCCAGACCGATACTCATGGTCTTAAATTAAGCGAGGAGAATTCATGATCGCGAAGAGACTTAGTAACTTTCTATAAAAACTCGTAAATTTTGCGTAAAGAACAGTCTATTGTCATAAAAATCGCAAGGTAGTCTTCTGATTATTATTCCATCAATTTCGCATTCGGTAACCCACTTCCCCCTGAGTTTGACTCCTTAGTACTCCCCACCTTTGACGTATCCTCATTGACTTATGATCTTAGTTAAAAATTAAACATATACTAAAGGTAGGAGACATATATGTTGGTATGTTCGAATTTTTCCCCTGTAACCAAAGTAATATCATAAAGAAGAGACAGAGGACAGCACAATGGACAAGGGCTGAAATAAGACTTACGTAACAGAACTTGAGCTCTTTTAACGGGAAAATTGAAATATATATAGAGTAGTCCCTCAGCTGGGACATTTCTAAAATAGCTGGTGGAAGTAGGTTAGATTGACGAAATAATTAGTTAGAATTATTCCATAGCATTTAATACAAATAGTATATAACCTCAAGCATGAAAGTAAAATGTCACCAGGAAGCAACGTCTAAACAAGAGCTAAAAATATTTAAGAGAAAAATGATTAACACCACCCAGGCTTTCACTTGTTCTCTTTTTAGGCAGCCCTTTCACGCAAATTTAAGAGCAGATTGGGAAAATTCTCTTGAAATGATTACTTCCAATGACAGCGTTTGTGCAGAATTTCTTTGAGAGGGCTTACCTATTTAGGCGTCGGCCTGTAACCTGTCTCCTGCAACCCACGACCTGTAACCACTAATCTTCAACGTGGAAACTCCAAACTGTCACCTGCAACCCACATTTTAAGGGCTCCGTTCTAGACCATCCACACTGAGGTGTTGGTCGACCACTCTCAGACAGAGAGAATCTATAGCTGCCACAATCATATGCAATGCGTCGTAGTTTTGAACGCTGGAGAAACCTTTAAGTCTGGTTTTCATTAGTTACACAAGCACAAGTGCAGGCACAAATGCAAGCACAAATATATGTTATTCACCAAAGTGATTTGAGAGAGAGAAAGAGGAAAGAGAGGATTGATAAGTTATTTATGGAATTGATTTGCTTACAAATACTTTGCTTTAAAATACTAGCTAGCCGGCATTAAGAAAGATATTTATAAAAAATGGCAACGAAGGTAGAGATGTTCTCGGCGACTCACGAAAGCGTTACCGTGCCCATGGGCAGAGCCGAATGGGAAAATTCGGACCGCTCTGAGAACCAATCGGATTACAAATTTGTTACCGTGTCCTCTGAACAAATAAAATAAATAAAACTAGCTACTATTATCACATTCTTCAAATCTTTATTATTTGTAGCATCTCATTCATAGTTAACAGCCCGGATAAGTAAAGCTTTTTACTTCTCCCCACAGCAGAGGCGAAGAAAAAGTTCAAGAAACTTTGTTACTGGGTTATGTACTAACCACATTCTATCTCGCTAAGTCAGGATAATCAAGTCATCATTTACATCTAGGCAATGATTCTAACATTTGGTCATAAATCATATTTTCCAACTGGCTCAAAAACATGCTCTCTGTGGGCTCTTACATTGTGAGTAGAGCAAACTGAATTTACATTATTTATAAAAAGGGTGCAATTCCGTTTGAATATTGATAAGGTTCTGCTAAAGGATAAGAAGTTGCACAGCGGTTAGATTTCTATGAGCTTTTTTAAAAGCCAAATGAAAATGCTGACCCGAGACTAAGTGAATCTTCCAGAGTAATGTCACGGTGAGTACTACAAAGATCTCGAAGAACAGATGTTAATTTGAAGTCAAAACGACTAGTGCCTCCATACAGACATTCTTCTTCCTGGCGCTGGCCAGTAGAGGTCTTGCCGAAAGAGCTGTGTACTCCGCTGGGAAACAACGCCGAGACTTTTAATCCTGGATTTGATAGGGAAACTAGCTGCGAGATCATGCTCCTACAAACAGCGCAGCTTTGCATCCGAAAATTGAGGTCCATTACTGCTTTATTGTCTTTTGAAAAATGCTCTGGACAACGAATAATTTTTGAATTATGCCGATTTGAATTTAGGCACAACGTCATACAAAACTCCACCAACCCAATAAACTGAGGATGAACCTCGCTAAGTAAATTCTCTAGCCTTTGAACTTTTTGCAGAAACACATTCTGTAGGCTATCGCTGTCTAAATTCTGGAAATACTCATTCTTCGAGATTTTTTTGAGTGCCATGTTTTCTATCAGGTTGTAGCACTCGCTGCGAACACTGTCCAGCCTTTCGTCTTCCCTAACCATGATGGTAACATTTGTCAGGAAGAGTATTCGGATTGCGTTGTGTTTAGACCTCTGCAGAGTCCTCAGGTAGTTAACGCAAAGATCAAAAACCGACTTGGTTTGGTATTCGTCGGCTAACTTCAGGAGATGCTCTGCCTTGGTCACTGTAGAATAAAAACAGTTATTGTTTCAGTGAAAAGGTCACACCTTTAGTAAAATACTTTTTGAAATATCTTATTCTTACAGTAGAACCACGCTCAAAATAATACTAACTCAGCAAGGAAAATTTAAAATGACAATTCCAACTGATGGTTACATATTTATTGAATGTACATTTTTCACGCTGTACAGTGTACAGCTGTATGCTTCAGCAAAATGGTATAAATTATGAAAAAATTTCTTCGTAGTAACTCTGGTTATCATTTAATTTTTCAATCTGTTATAAATGTTACTCTTTTGATGGTTACCTTATATATTCTGTAAGTTTTGGGGACATTTATGGCTAATAGGACATTACATGTCCTCCTTTCATATATCCTTTCCTTCAGCCCCTGTACCATTACTCTGCTAATAATTTTCTTCCTCAGTGTATTAGTCTGATTGACGGATAGTTATTAGTTGATATTGTTCCACATGGTTCCTAAAAGTAGATCGCTTTGTTTTCAGAAGATTAGTTATTAACGCGTGGTCATAAGTTGCGAGATTGAAAAAGACTGAAAAATGAATAAAGGAACTTATCGTCACGCCCTTACATGTGACTCCATCACTCTCTTTTAAGTACATTTGTTTCAGGAAATCTGAAACTTCATTAGCCTTTTTTCCTGGTAAAGGGATCTCTTTAGCTGTTGCTTCCTTGAACTTTGTTGTAAGCATGGCTTTAAAAACCGGTGAATGGATGCTCAGTATCTGTCGATGGACGTGAAACTTTTCATCTTCCACCACAAGCACCAAATCACTATCCTCCCAAGGCTCCGCAAAGGGTTGTGTCCCCTCTTCTGTGACCTCTTCTGGCTCTTGGTCACAACCTGTTATTCAAAAGGTTAAAAAACCTCTTTTGTGTCTTTGGCGGGACTTCTTATGCAAATCGCACTCACCATTCTTGACTTCATTTTGTGCATCATAAAACTCCAGTAAACTGGATTAATGCATAATTCAGCTCTTGAAGTACATAGCAGCCAGACTAGAATAATATTTCTTCCTGGGTATTGTTATTAATGAGGTGTGGGGAATCGCTCTAGCCTAAGACACGCCAAAACCACAGGCGCAAAGCGGAAAAGGATTGGAGGTCAACTGAGGTCAATATGGCGGCCGGAAGCTAACAAAAACATATATCATCGAGTTTTTCCGTGAAAAGCTTATAGTCGTATTCTGAGGGCTCATAAACATCTATATGAGTACTAATTCTCACACAAGGACTGTTCAAATTGCGAAATCCCAGTAGATAAGACACATTTTTTTTAACCTACGTGACAGCATGTTGACATAGTGTCACCCAAAAGCTTAGAAATTCAACCTTGATTTCAGTTATCACAAGGATAAGTTCCCAACCGTTCTGTTCACTAACTAAACTAAAATCTCTGAACGATTGATAATTCCCTATTTTTAATCTTTATGACATCACGTGAAAACCATGAATAGCATTGGAAAAAACTATAGGTTGTGTGATAACGCTAGAAGGTAGTGTTACAAAATATTTGTCTTTACATGCAAAACAGAAACCTGAGTACCACGCTCCACAAAAGAAAAATCATTCAAGAACATAGTGACTTATTGACCTCCAACCGTTAAATAAAAAGTAACGAATTATCATTTCACAAAAGTAATTATGATAACAATTGTAATATCATAAAAATTTAAAGGTCTTAGCTCGAAATCTTCATGTTTCCACTATCCTCTGGGCTTAACAATATTTACCTAGGCTTCCTTAAATTTCGCCTGTAAATTATAAAAAAATTTTTTTTTATTGCAATTCCATTGTGGGAGGGGAGAAAGGAAAATGGTGGGGAAATTAAAAAATCAGGTTTTCGAAGTGGTAATGCATTCTTTTGCTCATTGCCTCTGTAAAGTCGGGGATTAACATATCTTTTATCAAATCTGTAACAGTTTCTCCGATACTCTAAGGGTATGTTGCCGACTTTGCACTAGCAAACAATCACAACACCAAACTTCGCAAAATAAAAAAACCGTTAATTTCAAACGAAGTTTTCGGATAAATAGCAAAACGGTGCGCTGAAGGGCGATGTTCTCAATGATAAGTCCTATCAAAAGGAGATAATTACGTGTAATGTTGGTCAGGTGGAAGCAAGGAGTAGTTAAAAGAAAAATAAAGAATGGAGTGCGATTCACACGGATTTGTACCCTCGGAAAAAAGATACCCTCGCAATTAATTTGATCGATACGTTTTATTAGTTTTAATTGTAGTAGGGCCATTATGAAAACTACTGAGTGACCAGTAATCAATGTATTTTACCCTCGTTAAATAAATTTTTCTTCTTCTAGATCCTCTCATCCTTATAAAAAAAACATACAAACAAACAAACAAACAAGCAAACAAAAAACAACAAAAATATGAATTGTTTAACAAAAAAATCAGTGGTCTCAAGTTACTGAGGAAGGGTTTATCTAATGCTTGGCATTAGGGAAAAATGGACTTGACATTTCCTTTTCGAAACGCTGCAACCACGAGGTAATACAGCAATGTTAGAAATGTGGGAAAATAATGCACCGCAGTCGTAGGCCGCACACCACCTGCACTCGTCTTTGTTATGACTTCCGCTGGGCTTTTTGTCAGCCATTAGTGTAGACAACAGTCCTTCTTACGACTACGCGCAATGGAACGATAAGACTACTCGCCAGATCCGCAATGTTCGATGAAATGATCCACCTCTAATGTATATAGAAAATTCGATAAGTGTCCATCTACGTTTCATGTTTACAAGTCTACCTATATTTATGATATTTGACTGGATCCGCTTTCAAAACATAAACGTTTGGCACGATTTTTCCATTTTTGTTACGGAAGAAATGTGCATAACTGTACGATGAACATGGAATTCATCTTCCACCACAAGAGTCACATCACTTTCTATCTTTTGTCATCAGTTGAATCAGTTCCTATTGACGGATTATAACCTCGTCTTTTAAAACTGCTTGAGACACAGGGAATTAGTTATTCGCTTTCTCTTTTGTTGAGCCTCCGTGAAAAAAGAATGTAAATTATTTGAAACAGTTAAAAGTAAAATCAATTCAGTCGATAGGAATCGACCTAAAATCGAAGCCCAGATCCACAGACTGCGTTAAGGCTGACTTAGAGCTCACACAAGTCACGCAAACATATCATCAATAAATATCACTTGACTAGGAAAATAAGAAACCGATTTAATACTTCTACGCTAAAGGAAAAGGCAGCTTCATTTTTTCCACCAGAAAAGCACCCGCCTAACAAGGCTCTAAGGCCTAGCAGGACACAAACGATATCGAGTCGGTCCAGCTCGCAAAAGCGCCATGAGACTAATACAGATCTATTAAGCGTTATGCGTTTAAGTTGAGGTCAGGATAAGTTATTTGAAACAAATATACAGCACGGCATTAAGAAATGTTTCCTTATAACCCCATTCCATTCGGATTTAAAGCATTAGTCCCAAAGGTAAATGTATTGCTTTCCGCCAGTGTTTTCTTTCATCGAATGACTTTATGCATAATGAAATATGGGACTTTACGGAAATCTTGCCCGACATTCCACCTCAATTAATGTGCTTTTGTAACGTTACTGATTAATCATGGTGTTCAAAATGTATGCAGGCTCGGGCACATAACACTGGATCCTTTGAAGAATTGAGGTACGCAGAGCTAAGAAAAATACGCTTACAAACTGTGGGGTTAAATTTTCGCTCATATTTGTCAACTACCTGTTTTATCTCAATTCTGAGAATCAGCATAAAGGGATTTTTAAAGCACCTGCAGACGCCTTTAATGAAACGGCTTTTGAATTTGGTAACATTATTCTAAGTTACGATACTGAAATGAAGTGACTTCACAGCTGTGAATTCACCTAGTAGAAGGGACGAACACTTGTATTCCAAGCGCAATTTAACAGTTCCGTAAGAATGGGTCAAGAACCGGTTGAGGATTTTAGCCACACTCACTCTGTTTCAAATCTAAGGAATCACACCTCACGTCAATCTTCTTTTTCCTCGATAAAAACTTACCAGCGAGAGGTGGTGTCAAAATATTAGGGAGACTGGCGTTTGTACCATCACTTGCAGGTTCAATATTCAAAGAGGCCATTTCGCTTGTGGATGAAATTTTTTGAATCGTCTTCCTTCCACGAACTTTGTAATTTAACACCAGAGAAGAATATCAATATCTTTCTTAGAAAAGTACTCTTTCCAGTCTCACTCCAGGGCTCGAAATTAACGCCCGCAAACTCGCAAATTTTGAGGGATTTTGATTACCTGCGAGTGAGAAAAATATCCACTAACAAACTTTTGTGGGTTAGAATCATCCATGTCTCCCAAACCTTTGGAAAAAGCTGTTAGAACGCAAGGAAGAATACACGGGCGACATCTGAGGCGAATAAACGGCAGAGAGACGCCGAGCTTTGTGTTGGCCACTGGCCAGCGGTATAATGCCGAGGCTCTGTGCCACACCTGCGCATTCGCGTGTTGTTGTCGTGGGTTTGGTGCTATCATTATCATTACATATATCAGAAATAACTTCTTTCTTCAAGGGTGCCAGTGCTAGTGGCGATGAATTTGCTAGTGGTCTCATCAGTCTACTAGCGGAAAAATATCTTACTAGCAAAACTTTGCGAGTGGACCAAAAAGTTAACTTCGAGCCATGCACTCGGCTAGAAATTTCTGTTTCCTTCCTTCAAGGCAGCTTGCATTGACTACACTTAACCTTATCGAAGTGACCATGGCTTATCCAAAAAATGTTTGCACATGTGAATGAATTAGAAAAATATCTGGCGAGCGAGTTCAATTAATCTTGAAGAGTAACGTTCAAGTAATATCTTCCGTCGCGTATCTCAGCCCGATTATTTTTTTACATTTTGAGTTGTCTTGAACCATTTTATGAAGACAACTACCTCTCATGAAGTTTGGTTCACACAGAATTTATTGAACATCAATATGATGATACAACACATAGCAGTACTGGCAGAAATCCAAGTAGGAACTGTACTCGTAGCCGGTGGGAAACCTAGATCTGGTAACAGCTAGTTTGGATGAACATAAAGGTTATTTTGACATGAGGTCTCTATTGAAAGACGTAGCCTTTTAGAGACTTTGGTTAGTAATATCAATCGACTGGCGAAAGAATAAATAGTTGGTACATAACTTAAATGTAGCCACTTTAAAGGAAGTGTTAAAGAATGGAATTTAAATTGAAGTGCAGTTGATTACATATTCCCTTTCCTCTATTAAATATTTATAATCACAGAAAAAACATTGGTGAGGTGTTAACAATTTTGTCGATGCTTGTAGTTCAAGGTTTTACATAATAAGAGTCTTAAATTTTTGTTGATTTTTGTTGTTTGGGGAAGTGCACTCGATGTAAACAAAGCAGGTGGATTGGCAATATCTGTGGGTGTGCTAGAATAAAAGTTGATTTCTAGTAACTTTTCACCTATAAAAGACATTTTGAATGCTAAGATGAATAAGAGTACTTTGGGAAAAGATCACCAAAAATCCTATATCTCTCCACAAACTTCTTCATTCGTTGCGAAAAACGGGTAGCTACGGAGCCTTACAAGGGACACACATCTTTTCTATTTTAGTGCCACTTTTAGTGCCACTTTTAGTGCCACTTTTAGTGCCACTTTTGGTGCCACTTTTGGTGCCACTTTTAGTGCCACTTTTAGTGCCACTTTTAGTGCCACTTTTAGTGCTACTTTTGGTGCCACTTTTGGTGCCACTTTTATTGCCACTTTTAGTGCCACTTTTAGTGCTACTTTTAGTGCCACTTTTGGTGCTACATTTAGTAAGGTTTTTAATGCGATTTTCACTGTCAGCGTGGTACAAATTGCAGGCGCCCCACTTATGCCTTTTACGCCAACGTCTTCTTCAAGCAGTTCTGGTTTTATCCTCCCCCACATGTTCGACAGTCACTGTCGCTATGAAGATTTGTTCAATATTCCTTATAGCAACTATTTGCACCACGTCAAGGGCCGTGCTTCCTAATTATTTGCCTGCAACCAGAGGTAACGCTCTCGCTCGAGACGAACTAATTGAAACATATTTTAACCTTGGATTTCCTGCTAAAGAAATTGTTTTGTTCCTTGCAATTGTGCATGGTTTATGTATTAGTCTGAGACATTTAAAAAGGATTCTAAGGGGGCTGGGTTGTAGAAGACGTCGCTGTCAAAGCGACCCAGATGAAATAGTACAGGTAGTGCAAGGGGAATTAAGGGGAAGCAGTAGTCTTCTTGGGTACAGAGCAATGCATCAGAGACTCGTAAATCATTACGGACTGGTTACTACGAGAGAAGTTGTTCGACATGCATTGAAGGTCTTTGACCCTGATGGAGTGGAACACCGATTAAGGCATAGACTTCGAAGAAGGGTCTACCGATCTAAAGGGCCAAACTATTTATGGCATATTGACGGTTATGACAAATTGAAACCTTTTGGTTTCTGTGTCCACGGTGCCATAGATGGTTTCAGTAGAAGAATTTTTAAGGCTTGAGGTAGCATCTTCAAATAACAACCCCAAAATAGTAGCTCAGTTTTAGCTTGACTGTGTTAGGCAGTTAGGAGCTACTGCACGCATTATTCGGGGAGACAGGGGAACTGAGAATGTGAACGTGGCAGCTATTCAAATATTCTTTCGCAGGTCCTCTGAGGATGATTTTTCCTGAGAAAAGAGTTTTATTTACGGAAAATCGACCTCAAATCAAAGAATAGAAGCATGGTGGGGACGTTTGAGACAGGGATGTGCAGATTGGTGGATAGAGTATTTTAAGAACTTAAGAGACTCTGGTTTTTACTATGATGAGAACGTTATACATCGAGAATGCTTGAAATTCTGTTTTATGAATTTGATGCAAGAAGAGCTAATCCTGGAGTGGAATGTTCATAGAATTAGACCATCTACCATTCTGGAATCCCCTTCTGGAAAGCCAGATATTCTTTACTTTCTTCCGGAGCTGAAAGGTGTGCAAGATTATTCTACCCCGATCGATGTAGACGAAATTGAAATTGCAGAGGATATGTGCGCAACGCGACCACAAGCAAAAGGATGTTGTCCTGCCTTCAAGGATCTGGCAGAAATGATAATGATGGAAGACTAGAGACTAGACACGCCCATTACTATCGACGAGGCTTCCCAGCTATCCCTTGCTCTTTTGGACCTTATTGATGACTTATAGTGATAACACACTTTAGCGCGAAAACTTCATGAGCTGTCAAGTGATGGAAAGAAGCCAAACTATCCATCTTTTTTCTGTGTTGTTATTGACTTCGCGTCTGATAGATAGCACAACGTTATCAACAGCGCTTAGGCATTGGCCTATTGCGCAATGTTCTTAAGATAACTCGAAACTCAAGGGAGTTGCGCTTCGTGTTTCACTTGCAGAATATTCTTAGACGCTGCACTTTG